TGTCTTTTTACTATTTCAAGAAACCATTATAAACAAGTATTGTCTAACGCCAAAGCTTGCCATTCTAAGGTCACAAAATCTTGTATTTCATCTCAAATTGAGACTCCCGAGACTTTTGGATAAATATTCAATCATAAAAGCAAATCTGTTTTTCCTTCTCTCTTGCATGGTTGAGATTTTTTAATTTCATCTAAAGACATAGCTGAATTGCTTGCTAAGAACTTTTCATCAATCTTATTTCTTGATTTCACTAATCACATTCTACCTGATACAGACAACAAGCAGGTTAATTAATTTCTTGACATACGAATCACTCCAGCTTCTGTAATCTAATGTAATGGTTTCTTGCTTAGACTCTTCTAAAGCTTGTGGTTTATTAACATACCTGTTATAGTCTTGGTGAAGTGTTTTCTAGAGCTAACGACTATGCTTTTAAAACTATTTAAAAATTACTTATCAGGGTCTTGTTTTTCAAACTGTTGGAAAGTAGCATCTGTTATCTCTATTTTCAAAAATTCTGGAGAGCGATCTGATTTGTCTAACTACCGTCCCATTAGTCTTCTTACTATCATATGCAAGGTTTTTGAGTGTTTTATTACGAAACGCATAATCTCTTATCTTGAATCTAATAACTTTCTTTTTGATCATCTATATGGATTTTGGTCTTCTCGTTCCACTGCTGATTTGTTAACGGTAATAACTAATAGGTTTTATTGTGCATTAGATAGATGTGGAAATGTTAAGCTATCGCTCTCGATATTTCTAAAGCCTTTGATAATGTTTGACATGCTGGTCTTCTCCATATGGTGTTTTCTTATGGTGTATTAGGTAACTTTTTAAGGTTATTGAATTTTTTATCACCAATCGTAGTATAAAAGTTGTCCTCGATGGACAGCACTTTTCTTCGTTTCCTCCAATTTCAGGTTTTATCCTTGGCCCTATACTTTTTTAAATTTACATTAACGATCTCCCAGAAATGGAATGTATTACTGTTGTCATATCTAGAGCGAATCTTCGTAGGATGCCCTTTCTCTTCCAGACTAGGAGCAAAAACGCATTGTCAACATAGTTAGACCTGCGCTTTCAGCCAGCCTTCAACCATTGTCACATTGTCTTAATGTTGCTTCTCTTTCTCTTTTTTATAAAAACTATAATGGGCGCTGCTCTAAAAAGCTAGCGTCTCTTGTGTCATCTACTAAAATTATTGTGTTACTCGTCATTCAATTAAGTATTATCCTTATACTGTGACTGTTAATAAGTGCTCCATAAATTTTTATTTGTCTAGTTTTTTTGCTCGAACATCAGTTTTTTGGAATTTGCTCTCTTCTTTTTTTTTTTCCTGATTCATATAACTTAACGTAACTTGTCTTTATATAACTTCGTCTGCTAATCGTTATCTTGCTTGATAATCTTCACCTTTTCTCTTCCAGTTCCAACTTTAATAGTGGTTGCTTGCAGCCTTGTTGGAAGTGTAGATTTAAAAAAAAAAGTTGAGATTCAAATACTTTCAAATAACTCAAAGAAACAACCGTGTCAATTGGTTGACAACAACCGTGTCGATTGGTCGACAACAACCGTGTCGATTGGTCGACAACAACCGTGTCGATTGGTTGACAACAACCGTGTCGATTGGTCAACAACAACCGTGTCGATTGGTTGACAACAACCGTGTTGATTGAACTCTTTTGTAACTATTGAGATAATATAAAAGCTTTTGTTAGCAGCTCCAAAGCACTAAAAGAAGCGCAAATTTAGATTTCTCAAAAGATGCTAAAATTCGCTCTTTTTTTATTTAGGTGCTTAAACTTATAACTTCTTTATTTTCCATGCACCAATTTTATTTAAAGCTACTACCAATGCTATAAAGTTCAATTGTATCCACCGCTACCTTCCTAGATGTCTATGTTGTATCACTAAGACGTTCTAGGCTTAAGGCAAACTTTTACACACTCTGACGTTGCTCTTCTTTGAATAACGTCAACGTAGGCAAACTGTTAGTAAAAAACTTGTATATGGTTTCTAAAGTTTGAAAAAATAATTTCAATTGCACCTTAGAATTGATAGCATAAACTACCATAAGGTTCAAATTGTGGGCAGAGCTATGAGTTAATAAAACATACGATGCAACTTCTTTGATTTCTTTCTGCAGCCCAGAAATTTCACCAGACCTGGTATTTGTGCCGTCGTGTGACTGACCATAAAAAATTTCTGCCGTGATATATTTTAAAGAAAGAAAAAAGAAGAGTAAAATCCATTTAGAACCAGAGATGTAGACAAGACAGTAAAGGCCAAGACCAAGACTAAGACCAAAACATTTGGGTTCAAGACCAAGACTGAATGGTTCAAGACCAAGACCAAGACATCCAAAAATGGATCAAGACTTAGGTTCTAAGACTCTGCATATGTTAAGGGCCACAACTTTTGCCTTTCTCAATTTCTATCACAAATATTCAACTTTCCAATTTGTTTTTCAAACAATCTGAATCATTTACTTTCTCTATTAGATTTTTGTCTCTGATCCTAGTCATTGCTCAGTTTATTCACATTCACCTTTAGGTGCTTCTGATCACGGTTTGATCTCTCTAAAACTTTTATCTTGTTCTTCTTTATTATCAGAATCCCCTATCATCATACTTCTTACAACTATTTTAAAGCTGGTTAGAACTCTTTCCGTGATTTTCTTTGTGACGGCCTTTGAGTAGAAACCTTTCGTCTTCCTGCTGACAAATGTGCTACTTTTGTAACTTCTTGGATTTAGGCTGGCATGGAATCTTTTATTTTCTCTTGACAATTCCAATTCAAGCCTCACCCTACTCCATTTTTTTACTCTCACTATGCTGCTTCAGTTTCCAATCGTAACCATTACTTCCATATCTATCGCCAAAACAATTCTCTAAAAAACAGACTACTTTTTACTATTGCTAGAAACCACTGTAAAAAGGTTTTGTCTGACGCTAAAATCTGCTATTCTCATGTCACAAAATCTTGTATTTCATGTTAAAAATTATGCTCCAAATACTTCCAGAGAATCTTTAACAGGGTCTATAATAAGGGCAAATTTGTCATTTCATCTCTCTTTTATGTTTCAAATTTTGTTACTTTACCTAAAGACAAAGCTGAGCTGTTTGCTAAACACTTTTCATCAATCTCATCTCTTGATTCGACAAATCACATCCAACCTGATTGACCCGTCAAACAGGTTGAACCATTGCTTGACATTCGTATCGCTCCAGCTTCTGTATCTCATGTGATTTCCTGCTTAGACTTTTCTACAGCTTGTGGTCCGGACAACATACCTGTTAGAGTCTTGCAGAAGTTTTCTCCGGAGCTGTTGTCTTTATTTTCAAAAATATTTAACAAGTGCTTATCAGAACCTTGCTTTTCAGCTAGCTGGAAAGCAGCATCTTTTATCCCGATTTTCAAAAATTCTGAAGAGCAATCTGACTCGTCTCACTATTGTCTCATTATTCTTCTTCCTATTATAAGCAAAGTGTTTGATTCTTTATTTTACAAACACTTAATCTTTCATCTTGAACTTACTTTTTTATCATCAATAGAGATTTCAATCTTCTCGTTCTACTACTGATTTTTTAACAATAATAACCAAAAATATTTTTCGTGCATTCGATAAATAAAGAGAGGTTAGGTCTATCGCTCTCAATATTTCTATTATAAAAGCATTTTTAAAAAACTTGGTATGTTGGTCTTCTCCATAAGCTCTTTTCATACGTGAATGAATTTACGTGAATTACAGTGTAAAAAGAATACATAAACAAAAAAAATAATAACCTACAGCTCTGTTTAGAAATACCAATTGCATTTGCAGTTGGTACTTTTAAAAATTGAACAAATCCTTTATCTAAATCTCCACCGGCTGAAAGATATTACAAAGACAAAGAAAATTGTAAAATCTAAATCTTTTTTAATTTGTACATTTTGTAAAGCCTTAAAAAAAGCGCTAAATTTCAAAAAGACGCCGTTCTAAACTTTTTTTATTGGGGAAACATTCGCGCACTGGATAATACGGATAGTACGAATAGTCTAATTGTATAATATACAATTAGACTAATCGTATTATTGAAAAACAGGCTAGTTTATCCAAGCCGCTTGCATCTTTAACTATCCGTATCGCAAGTTAGTTGGCTCAATCACATTAGTTAGATATTATTTATCTAATGCTATTGCGCCAACTAACTTGCAATGCGGATAGTTAAAGATGCAAGCGGCCCGGATAAACCAGTTCGTTTTTCAATCTGAACCAGGCTAAATCGCTAGTTACATGGAGCTGCGAAAATGAGTTTACGCAACCACCTGATTCTAGGTGGTTGGCTAAACTATTTCTCACTTACGGGCATAATTTGATAAAAATAATTAAGTTAATCTGACCGACTCGTTTACTTAACTAACCTTAACTTAACTAAGTTTATAGAAAACTTGAAACTGGTATGTATGCTGATCAGATTGGTGGGTTGTGTCTTCTACCATTTCTAATATATAGCTTAGCATGATATGTTAAAAAATTGTGTAAAAGTTTGGTTTTAAGTTGCTGCTTTTTAAAAACTTCTAAATAGGGTTAATAAATAGGCAATACGATTTTTTAAACTTTTATAACTTCTGTCTGCGAGAATAACTTTTGTAATTTAAATTTTTTTTGGAGTAATTAAAATTAAACAAGTATATTGCAATTTTATAAGAAAAAGAATCTTGTGTTGAAAGATATTTTCTCACGTGACAAATTTATTTATCTTAGGGTGTTTAACGTTTGACATTTTGCTAAGATTTTGTTTTTTAACTTTGTTTATAAAACAAATTATTATTGAATTAGTATAAAAATATAAATCCAGTAATTTCAATGCAACAAACCTTTGAAGTATTTTTTTAATTTAAAACATAGCATATTTTTTTAAAAATAAATCTTTAACTCCGTTTTCACAAATTACAAGCTTTTAAAATTGTCGTGTATTTTTGTATTGCAATAAAAATAAACACAGCATTTTTTTGCGCTAATTCGAATCTCTTGAGACGCATTAAACTAAATTTAATTGCTTAAAATGAATTCATACATTGTGTACCTTACAAATGGTTTTATTAATTTAATGGAAGTTTAGTAAAATACTGTTAGATAAGAAGCTTTATTTAGCTAACTGTATTCACATTTCGATTTTAATATTTTTTGAAATGGTGAGAGATTATTTTTACCACTAATTTGCTAATTTAGATTAAAACCCATTTAATAAACTTTATGATTTTTTCAAGAATTCATAACTATTATTTGGTTAACTTTTGTGATGTTTTTGCATTTTATTAAAATCCTAATTAACCTCAATCCTAAATTAGGCCGACGTTGTGAAATACGGAATTCAAATTGCCAATCGAGTTTTTGTTGGAGGAGTTGCCTTTGATGTAAGTTTTTTTATATTTATTGAGGAAACTTATTATTATCGATTTTTTAGACTAATTTATTATGTTAAATGTTGGATTTATATTAAAAACGGCAATCCAATTTCATATTATTATATTTTTGTTTAATAAACAATAATGTAATAATATAGAATCCGTTATTATTGTTTTTACAACAACTTATTACATATTAATTTAAATAATAACTCTCAAATAAATTAAACGCATTACGACTAAGACTTTGGAAAGAGAAAATTGTTATTTACAACAAATAAATTCTTATAATGTTATATAATTTACGCTCATACACACAACGTAGTTCGTTTATCGTTACAAACGAACTACATTGTGCACGTGCACAATATAGTTCGTTTATCGTTACCGACTCTAACTAGAAATTTTATTAAAACATGAATATAAAGAATATAAGTTGAAACAATGTATGCAGTGGTTAGAGTGCTGAACTTAAGATCTAATGGTTCAAATCTTGAGTCGTGTAAACGCCATTGGTGATGCTGGAAACGGAAAATTGCCTCAATAATATTTCTGTGATCGTGCTTATTGATTTTTCAGGTCTTTTTTTATTTTATTTTTCATAATCTTTTTGTTAAATGAAGAGTAAAATATGTCCTATATATGACATTCTCCAGTTTTAAACTCATAAAATTAAAAATTATTTCGCTAAGTATGAATTTGTATAGTAAAACATAAGTCCATATTATATTGCGTTTATCCACGCATATATATAAATTAAAAAACACGTTTCTGTTTTTTCTTACATCCATGTATATTATTTATTAAAAAATACGATAAATAAAATTATTTTAAAAACGTTTTAAAGCTAATTCTGTGTGCAAAAGGAAAAGGGAGATGAGTCAAAAAAATTTCAAAAAATATACGGCATTCGAATTATAATATTATTAGGTATCAAGGAAAAAAGTTTAAATTTTAAATATCCCCTCAAAAAATGAGCACTTGATTCAATTTCATACAAGGAATTCGTTCATGAAAATTGTACTTTTCAAAAAAGTTGCAACTGCACCAACTTTATTCTGCTTCTGCTGTAAAGTGACATTTCATGGTTCCCTTTTCCTTTTGCACACAGAGTTTTAAGCTATTAAATTATCATAACTATTCTAGGTTACAACAGCAAAAAATTGAATTGCTACCATATAAAAATTAAAAAATTACTTTTAAAATAAAAGAAGTAAAAAGTTAATTAGTTTTTTACTTCGTTTATTTTAAGCTAAAATATTTTGTAATAATATTTTTAATGTCCAAGATGAAGTCTATTTAAATAAATCCTCCATGAAAATCAAAAAGGTTTTACAGACAACATATTTTAAACTTAATAAAAACCTTTAACTTCACTCATGGTTATGAGAAAATTATAGTTTTAAAACGTGTTAAAACTATGATTTTTCATATTAAAGTTTTTAATTTCACGTGTCCATAATTTACGGAAAATTAATGCTGATACAAGATTTTCTCGATAGATATTCTTGAAGCAAAGCTATGAAAAAATGCGCAAGACATTAGTAAATCGAACTTTTGATTGGTTTAACTTCCTTAAGTTTTGAAGAAAGGTTTATAAAATTTTAGCTTATTTTATAGATCATATATTTGTAAATAATCTTGTAAGTAACCTACCATTAAAAAACCTATGGCCCGCAGCATTTCATGAAATAACATTTTTTTTTTTTTTTTTTTCACTGAAGAAGTTTAAAATAAAAATAGTCTTAGAATGGTCTTGATTTTTAAACAATTGTTTTTGTTGTTGTCTTAGAATGGTCTTGATTTTTAAACAATTGTTGTTGTTGTTGTCTTAGAATGGTCTTGATTTTTAAACAATTGTTGTTGTTGTTGTCTTAGAATGGTCTTGATTTTTAAACAATTGTTGTTGTTGTTGTCTTAGAATGGTCTTGATTTTTAAACAATTGTTGTTGTTGTTGTCTTAGAATGGTCTTGATTTTTAAACAATTGTTGTTGTTGTTGTCTCAAAATGGTCTTGATTTTTAAACAATTGTTGTTGTTGTGTTCTTTCATGTATAAGATATATAATTTTCTTTGTTATATCTTTAGATTTATATTTGGATATTTCATAACTTTCTAATCATTTACTTTTCTAAACTTAAGTTAACTGAGTTGTTTATTATCTAAAATTGCCGCGGTCATATTTTTAGTAGTTTCATTTATTATAAATAGGAATAATGCCTCACTTATTATTGTTCTTAAATTTATTTTATTAGACAAAGGAAGAGGAACTAAAAGATTTTTTTTCGCAGTATGGTAAAGTAAAAGAATGCAAAATTATTAAAGACAATCAAAGCATTAGTCGTGGGTAAGTTTTGAATTATTTTTACGCAAATTTTTATTAATCAATAATGAATTGAAATCAAATGCATCATTATAGTAAATTTGATATATATATATATATATATATATATATATATATATATATATATATATATATATATATATATATATATATATATATATATATATATATTTATATATATTTTAATTTGATATATATATATATATATATATATATATATATATATATATATATATATATATATATATATATACTTGTAAATTTACAAGTATATATTATATACATACTTGTAAATTTTATAAAGTCTTTTTAAAAATAACTAATTAAAATAAAAAATGTTTTGAAACTGTTTTGAATTTTTTTCGTATAAAAACTGCATATGGTTCTAATTGGCCGTAGCTTCACCGAAGTCTTATTAGGCAGATAAGAGTGTGCCAAACAATGAAATTATTTTAATTAAATATTGATTAAAATTTCTTTAGTTTTGCATTTGTCACATTCGAATGTAAACAAGATGCAGTAAAAACTCAACAGCTGGTAAGATTAGATTTCTGATTTTCTGACGTCTTGTTGCTAGAAATTTCTGAGGTCTTGTTGCTAGGAAATTAATAAAACAATATTTCTTAATTAAACAAAGTTTGAACCTTTGTTTGTTTAGTAGTTTATTTAATTATTATTGTTGTTTTTATTATTTTACTATTATTATTGTAATTTATTATTTCAATTTTCACTTGTAAAAATACTAGAGTCTTCAAAAATGTTTTCATTTAAAAGATTTTTTTATAAAATAAAGTTTTACTTTAATTTCACAGGGAACAGTGTTTTTCAATCAAAAGAAATTGAACTTGGGTCCAGCAATCCGACAAAAGGTGCCCATTTTAAATTTTATTTTATAGTTTCTATTATAATAATTTACATATATAATTGTTCTCAACTACGCAAATGCGGTTTATGCAAAATCAACATAACTTATTTTACTTGACACGGTTAATTTATGATAACTTTCATTTTATTGATTCTTTTTCCAAGCTGGTTTCTATTAAAAAAACATATAACAAAAATATTTATAGCACCGATATTTAAAAACCTAGAAAAATTACATGTGTTCTTAACAAGAAAAAAGATATCAGCAAGATTAATAGTACAAAAATTAGCGTAAAAATATTCTTTTAGACGTATATAGTTTTTGTTTTTAAGTCATGGTAACCGCAAAACCTCAGCATCACTTTATTATAATACTCATAATATATATATCAATAAATGCAGATTTAGATACGCATAATAATAAGCATGAAACGTCACATATACATCACACAAAAATAGCCTTAAAGTTTTTTCTTTTTGGATTATTCTTTTTTTCCTGCTTCGTCTGAAAAACTATCTGGATTAAAATCGGCGTGCTAAAAGTTCAAGTCAGCAAAATATAATTAGTACAATGCAGACCTAAATTCAGTTTATTAAACCTTGATGCAGTAAGTTAAAAAGCATTACCACCCTCTTCGTCCGCCCTCCCCAGTTTACACGTATTTTTGCTACGGTTTTTGCTAAAAAAAAACCTTAAAAAAAGGTACTCTGATTCCCTTATTTGTCGACTATAGATAAATATTCCAAGTTCTATTTTGTGGACTAAATCTAAAAATAGCTTTTATTTGCCGACTGAATCTACAAAAAAATCCCAATTTGCCAACTGATGGTAAAAAATTCATTTATTGAGAGGTCACACACTCCACACACACTTTTCACGTCAGCCTTGTATACAATATATTGTGTAACTGTAAGTTTCATCACAATGCTGTATTTTTTCACGAGTTTAATACTATATATATAATAATTTATTTTGTAAAAAATTTGCATTGCATTGATCACTTTTAGACGAACGAGAGGCGTTGTATCTAAACTTGATACAATAAACAACAATATATATATATATATATATATATATATATATATATATATATATATATATATATATATATATATATATATATATATATATCCGCTTACATATTTTTTTATAAGAAATCACGCAAATGGGTTAATACTAAAAAGTTTCTTATTTTAGGAGTCCTATTTTATCAATCTAAGTATTTAAAATTTCCTAAGAGTTTCTTAAGTTTGTTAATATGGTAATATGATTTTTTCAAATCGAGTGGAATTCTATTTGATTAAGCGTGTAATTTACTTATTTAAACTTCTCTCATGTAGATAAATGCTTTTTAACTTTTAAGAAATTTTAGCGTTATTTCTTCTCGTTCATTCAATCTTCTCATTCAAAAATATAACATTCTCATTCAAATCTTTTGAATAAAAATGTTTTTATGTTTTTTTCCGCTAAATTAATTATAAAAACTTACAAGCTTAATTAAGAATGTCTACTATGAATCTGTGTGGAGTTTCTTAAAGTTGAGTAAGCGTGTTTTTATAAGCTAGTAATTTTTAAAAATTTAAGCGCCAAAAATGTTACTTTGATAAAGCGTACATACTGTCAACGTTCCTGAAGTAATTGTTAACATTTATTCAATGTTGATCAAATGTAGTTTTTGTGATGCTAAATTACTTAGGATTTTCAAACTTCGTGTTTTTAAAATTTGTATTTTTTGCAATGTTTTTAAAACGTCTATTTATATTGAATAAATCGTTAAAAAAAATGTTTTTTAAGAAGCTAAAAATTTTAATAGTTTTAATTTAAACGCTTATTCAAAGATAAAATGTAATGTTTAAAAAGCGGTTTAATTTTAACGTTGAATAAACGCTTTTAAATTAGCATTTTACGTCTGATAACGGTCTGTACAAGTTAGACTTAAATATTATTTAGTAAATTAGTTAGTACGCTGTTGGGTTTATGTCTTAAACTTGATATAATTTTACGTACAACAAGAAATGTCGCTAAAACGCATAAACTGTGCTATATTTTATAAGTGACACTGCGCGTGCAGGGGCGGATCAAGACCCTCTAGTAACGAGGGCGAGTTTCAGTTTTTTTTTCTCTATCTAGGAAGGAAGAGAGAGAGAGAGAGAGAGAGAGAGAGAGAGAGAGAGAGAGAGAGAGAGAGAAAGAAGAGAGAGAGAAAGAGAAGAGAGAGAGGAGAGGGTTGGCGACGAGTTTTTAATTTTTTTTTATTTGGTGGATCCAACCCATTTAGTAAAGTAGGGTGACTATTTAGGTTTAATGATTTGTAAGCAGGCTAGTCCACAAATCATAAAGCTTTTTTAAGTTAAAATTTTTAGAATATTAGTCTTGAACTGTTTTAATCTATGTAAGTAGGAAATTAAGCCATATATTGATATCACATCTTCATATCAATTTTAAAACCTTACTTAATTTACTTCCGTTTTTTAACAATATGCTTAGTTAAATATACATTTTTATTAAAAAAAAAATCCAAAATATTCAATGTCGGCGATCGCCCCCTTTTCCTTTGGATCCACCCTTGTGCGCGACATTATTTAACGTCAAAAAAAAACAAACTTATTTAATATATAAATAACATAAAAATGTGTTTTCTGAATAGCTATATTATCTTACAATTCAAATGCCTATTAAATGTCTCAATTTACTACGATTTATTGGGCTCAAGTAACTATACCTAGTTTTTTTAAAAAGAAAAATTCGAAAAATCAAACGTTTTGAAAAAGAAAAATTGAAAATACAAAAATTTTTAAAGTTGTTTTGCAGTACATGCTCAAATCCTAATCGTCAGTCGATTCATAAATCGACTGACGATTTATGACGTACTTAAACCCCTCTATTGCAGTTGACGTCAATAACGTTTCATTCGAGGTTAAACGCAGAAATATTTGTATACGTTTCAGGGGCGTGTCTAGGGGATGTCCGCTACGTCGTTGGACGTACTCGAAAAAATTAAATAAAAGTTTTTCAACTTGATTATTTTGTTGAAAAAAGTCTTACTATATATAACTATTAAAACCAAACTACAGCTAAAACTAAACAAATTATGCACGGTTAATTATCTTGAACGGTTGGAAAAAAATTAAAAACCGGAAAACGGTTCAAGTTCCAAAATATTAAAAACCGAAAAATAGTATACCGGTTTCAAAATTTTGCGGTTGTTAAAAAATAATAATTACAATATTTTGGTGGAGGTTAAACTAACTTTTGAGTTAAATAACTTAATTAGAAACTTGAATTGACATACCTTATTTTATTTTGTTATACAGAACTCTATTTTTTGAATTTTTTCTTTCATTGGTTTAAAAAAAATTAAAACGATTATTTCAGTTACAATAAACTTTGGACTTCCCTTTTGACATACACCCTGAGTAGAATTTTTATTAAGTTTTATTGTTTAACTATCACCAGGTGGTAAAATTAGTTAGTAACAACTAGTATATATCAAAATATATCAATAGACATCCCCAGTTTTATTACACTAGTCTAGTGTATCATTTTAATAACTTGCATTTTAAGTAATAAATAAGGAGAAAAAAGGTTTCAAATGTGGAAATAAATTTCGGACTTCCCCTTTGACCTGCACTCTGCTAAATTTGTGTTTTATAAAATTAATTTATTAAACATATAACATGGCCGATGAGGGTAGGTACAATCGGCAGAGCAGAGCAGATTGGCAGAGCAGATCATTGAAATATTAATAACGGCAGAGCAGATTATTCAATCAGCCGTTTCCTAATGTGTGATCTGCCAAATAATTCGGCAGATCATATAATAGAATTTTAATAATGTGGTTGACAAATATTTTTATGAAAAACGATGCACTTCGAATAGAAAGAACTATTAGTTGACTTTTTAAACATAAACGTTTTTTTGTTGTCGGAATATTTTTCCTCAAAAAAAGTGATCTGCCGTATTCTAATGTGTGATCTGCCAAATATTTCGGCAGATCATAATGCAACCGGCAGAGCAGATTGGCAGAGCAGATCATTGTAATAAAAATAACGGCAGAGCAGATTATCACAGACAGACAATCAGCCGTTTTCTATTTTGTGATCTGCAAAATTATATTTTAATAATGCATGATCTGCCAAATAACATTTGGCAGATCACGTATTAGAAAACGGCTGATTGGATAATCTGCTCTGCCGCTATCATTATTATAATGATCTGCTCTGCCCGGCCGATGATTAGTTCAAAATGTCACTTAATTCACAAGTTTATATAGCATTTTAAAGAAAAAGTTAGTATGTTAAAGAAAAGCATCATTTCCTTTAAAGTTAGGCGACCGAATATTACTTTAATTGTGTAGAACTTTTGATATCACGATATCCTTTGGATACAAGAAAGGAAGACAGAGAGTTATTACAAGTAGAAGTTGTTTATAGTTGCATCGATAAAAACTAGTACTTGTTCCTTGGTTTTCTTTTATAATCAAGAAGAAGATTTTAGACTTATTAAGTATAATTTTAATTAGCCATATTGTTTATCCTTTATGATATTCATGATAATCGTAATAGGAACTATGATGAACCACATTAAAGAAATAACTTGTTTTCTTAGTATTTTCATAAAAGCTATTACTGATTTTTCTTTGGGTGTTATGAAATGTGAAATTGTGGCATGGATACTTTACGAAAGTTTTTTATACCTGTGGTTTTCTGTCTCAAAGAATGTCATTAATGGTGCAGCCTCTGCTACTGCTTCTTCTTCTGAATTTATAACAAATTTTGATTTTATTGTTGCACTGTGAATAACAAGACATGTTTTTAATATAACTTTTTTAATTACATAATTTTGCAAGCAAGTAATAATGATAATTTTTATAGTTTAAATCTTATTCAAGCATTAAAAGATTTTGTCTCTATAGTTTGAAATATTATTAATCAACACCTAAACAAGCCTAAAAATTGCATTTCAAATTATTTTAACTTGGTTATCGCTGTTTCTTTGCTAGAC